ACACCTTCCCTTTCTATAATCTACCCCTCGTACTCAGAAATCTCGAAAAAGGATTTTTTTTGTGCTTTTTTCCTTTCCAATTGGATAAAATAAAATTCGGTGGCGACTCTTGCTTACCGCGACATTTTGCAAACACAAATGCAAAATGCAAACCAGCATTTTCCAAAAACAGTCGGTTCTGCCACCGTATCACAGAACTGGGGACTCTGCTGGGGACTTAATAAGTGGGGTATACCTTAGGATCTAGTTCATCATATTTACTTCTCTTGTTTTTCTTGGTTGCTTTAATTTTAATGGTTGTTTGGGAGTTACTATAGATCCTAACCCGGATATGGGGACACCTTTTAGGTAAGTAGCAATAAACTGTGAGGGAACTGTACAGCGTAGACCGATACGGTTGAAGCAGTAGCTACATTTATGTGGCACATTGGTTGGTACCAGTATCCCTTGTGGAGAAACGAGGAGAATACAGGGCCGCTACGTGTGTCGTTAAGCATCAACTTACCTTAGAACCTTTAATCGACCAACTTGGCCAGTAGGAAGTAGTGAGATAGCCGGCCTCGGTATAAAGCTGAGAACTGGTTGATACTCGATGCTACACTCATTGAGACCATACTCTCGAGATAGTTCCGGACGCAAGAAAAGATTGTGTGAGCTGAAACCATGACCGATGGAGGATGGTTAGTAATATTGAGAACCTCTAGAACCCGGTTACTTTTGCTAGGACAGGTTGAAACCAACTGAACTTCAAGAGGGTAATACCTTTGACCCCATGCAAGCCTTAAACTTAAGGGCTTTTGTGTGACTTGTTTGCCTTTTCCATGTCTGTTATCTGCTATACCTGTTACTTTTTATCATGACATCATGCATCATAACATAGCATGCATACTTCATCATACTAACCATTTAAAAGACTGAGGAGATTTATCTTTGTTCTATTTTGCAGATTATGGCTTCCGTGCGCAGAAACACCATCCGAGTTAACTTTGTGCAAATACCTGCTCAACTCAAAGAGTTAGCCTCAAGAGTTTCTGAGAAGTCTTCATTCATTAAGAGACATGGTCAGCTTCTTAGCCTGGTTACCTTAAAGTTTGATGAGCAGATGATGAGTGTACTTTTCCAGTTCTTCAATCCTGTGCATCATTGCTTCACCTTTCCAGATTACCAGCTAGTTCCCACTTTGGAAGAGTTCTAACACTTATTGGGCATATCCATCCTTGAGCAGGTACCCTTCACAGGTATGGAAGAGACTCCTAGACCAAAAGACATTGCCTTAGCTCTACATCTGAAACGGGCTGATGTAGTATCCATTTGGGAAACACGAAGCGGGGTCGAAGGTTTCTTAGCCAAGTTTATGATAGATCAGGCTCAGCTATTCTGGGATAGTTTGGATTTTTAGGCTTTCGAAGATATCTTGGCTCTCCTTATCTACGGGTTGGTTCTCTTCCCGAATCCAGATTCCTTTATAGATGTGAATGCGGTTAAGATCTTCCTGTCTCGCAATCCTGTGCCTACTCTACTGGGTGATATCTTGCATGCCCTCTACACTCGTACTGTGCAAAGAAGAGGGACTCTTATGTGTTTCATGCCATTTCTGTCGAGGTGGTTTATTTCGCACCTCTCTAAGTTTGTTCTTAAGAACGAAGAAGGTTTGGGTTGGTCCTACCGAATAATGTCACTTGCCCATACATATATTCTTTGGAGTTCCAGGGTTATGGAAAGCACTGCTGTCATTGATTGTTGTAGGGGATACCCTAATGTCCCGTTTCTTGGAATCAGAGGGGTATAACCTACAATCCTTGTCTATCTTTGCGACAATTTGGTCGTGCTCGGAGAGACGATCCCCATGAGCTACTTCTTACGGATATTGCATTTTACTACAACGAAGACGTTGACGAACATCGTCGGAGGTTTATACGAGCTTGGGGCATGGTGAACAGGTCTGATCCCCAAGATCTAGGACCAAGGACTTCCCTTCCTATGCAGCCTTACCTATAATGGGTCCGAGCTCATGCCCAGAAGCTTGGGATGCCCTGTGAAGCAATGCTTCCAGTAATTGTGGAGCCCACCAATGAAGAAGGTATTCCTTACACAGTTATTTATCCTTACATGCCCACTGATCCTGGGGCATTGCAGAGGTCTTGGATTCAGCTGAAAGAGGAGAGGGATACCTACCGGGAGAAGTACCATGAGCAAGAAAGGAAGATCTTGAAGCTCACCAGGCAGCTCGAGGAAGAGAGAACGATCAATGACTACGTCAGCACAAAGAGGAAGCGTCCATGGGATTTTTGATTTTGCTTTTTCTAGTTTAGATTTGTTTTTCACTTACTTCTTTGTAATGCCTCAAAGGCATTGTTGAACCTTTTTACAAGTTAATCTAATAAAGTTTGTTTTATTTTTGGTTTGCAAATTTAAATCTCCCAAAGTCTTTGAAATCATTACATGCGCATCCCATTATCATGTACATCATTACAGGTACCATTACAGGTTTCTCATCTTCTTCGCTGTTTATTTCAGCACGAAATTTCTTCTGATCAAGCCATCAAAGATCTTCAGGCAAAAAATGCCCAATTCCAAGAGATGTTCTTGAGCTTGGCTAAAGGGAAAGAGGATTTGAAGACTCTCATTCTGAAAGAGAAGAAGAAGAAGAAGAAGAAGAAGAAGAAGAAGAAGAAGAAGAAGGTTGTTCTTTTGAGTATGGGCAAAAAGTCTGGGGATAGGTTAAAACAGCAAGTTGATATGTCCTCTTCGTCCAAGGAAGGGGAGAACCAAGAAGAAGAAAGGGGCCCCAGTCCTGCAGTTTTTGATAATCATACTGATTTTGATGATGAGAAATATCCTCCTGCTGAGGATAGGTACAAGCAGTTAGAAGACCGGCTGAGTGCTATGGAGATTCAAAAGATCCCTGGTTTGGATTTCGGAGAACTGGGACTGGTATCTGGAGTGGTGATCCCTCATAAGTTCAAAGCTCCGGTTTTTGCCAAGTACGATGGAGTATCCTGTCCAAAACTCCATCTCCGCTCATACGTCCGGAAAATCCAACCCCACACTGCTGATAGAAATTTGTGGGTACCCTTCTTTCAAGATAGTCTGTCAGGGAATCAACTTGAATGGTTTTATCAATTAGAGGGAGCTAATTTCCGAAACTGGGAAGACCTTGCTGCTACTTTTTACCGGTAGTATCAGTATAACGCCGACCTTGCTCCCACTCATACTCAGCTTCAGGGTATGTCAATGGGTTCAAGTGAAGGTTTTAAGGACTATGCTCAAAAGTGGAGAGACTTGGTTGGAAGGGTCCAACCCCCTTTATCTGACAGGGAGTTGGTTGACATGTTTCTAGGGACGCTATCTGGTCCATTTTTCAATCATCTGATCGGCAGTTCATCATCTGGGTTTACTGAGTTAATTTTGACTGGAGAGAGAGTAGAAGCTGGCATCCGAAGTGGTAAGATACATAAAGATACTTCATCAAGTGCAGTGAAGAAACCTTTCACCGGTAAGAAAGAAGTTAGTGCAGTCTACGGCCCGAGGGGCCAAAGCAGACCTAAACACTATCAAGCAGTAAATGCAGTAGTGATATTAAGACCCACAGTTGCTCCACAATGCAACAATCAACCAAGGGTGGAAAGAACACAAAGGCAATACACTTGGGTCAATATGACCTTGTCTCAAATTCTACCACAATTAGTGAAGACCAATCTGGTAACTCTGAGGGAGGCCCCGAAGAACCCCAACACCACTTCTCCTCACTATAACCCAAATTCCCTTTGCGCCTATCACTCTGAAAGTCCAGGTCATGATACAAACAACTGTTGGGCCTTGAAAAATAAAGTGAAACACTTAATCGAAGCCAAAGAAATTGAGTTTGACGCTCTGGAGAAGCCCAACATCATAACGGCACCCATGCCCAAGCATGACTCGAGAATCAATGCTATTGAGGTTGTCTCCGCCACAGAAGATGCTGATGATGAGAACCTGGATGTTGACAGCTGGATATACCCAACAACCAATGGTGGATTGAACAACTGGACGACGAAGGACTTCATACTTGTTTCTTTTATTCCACAGTAATTGACTTTTGTTTTAAGAGTTGTAATAAACAGTTGAAACTTTACAACTCGATTCCTTTCCCGAGGCACCTTGGCTTTGCTTGTGAGGGCTTATTATTGGTCATTTTCATATATCATCAATAAAGCATTGGACGTTTCTTGCATTACAAATTTTGCGCTCTTTGTTTTTCTTTTTCTGTCTCTCGCTTTATTAAAACAGCTATTCTCTTACACACACTCACATATCATAATAAAGATCCATATCCATTATGGATCCCATTGATAAGAACTCTACTACTGCCAGTTATAAATTCGAAAATCTGATCAACCAAGCCGAGGACGAAGGTGAGGATGATTGTGAGGTACCCGGAGAACTTGCTAGACTGTTACTACAGGAAGAAAGGGCTATACAGCTTCATGAAGAGCCAGTTGAGCCAGTGAATTTGGGTACAAAGGAAGAGAGGAAAGAGGTTAAGATAGGTGCAAATCTGGAGCCTAGTGTTAAACAACGGTTGATATAGATGCTACACAACTATGTTGAGATCTTTGCATGGTCCTATGAAGACATGCATGGTTTGGACGATGATATTGTGGTTCACCGCCTGCCAACCAAAGAAGAATGTCCTCCGGTAAAGTAGAAGGTTCACCATATGCAACCTGAGATGTCTGAGAAAATCAAAGCTGAGGTCATGAAACAGTTCGACGCGGGATTCTTAGTTGTTACTTCTTATCCGCAGTGGGTTGCTAACGTTGTTCCAGTACCTAAGAAGGATGGTAAGGTACAGATGTGTGTGGACTATAGAGATCTGAACAGGGCAAACCCCAATGATGATTTCCCACTTCCTCACATTGATGTTCTGGTTGACAACACGGTGCAGCATAAAATCTTCTCCTTCATGGATGGTTTTTCTGGTTACAATCAAATCAAGATGGCTCTCGAGGACATGGAGAAAAAAAACCTTCGTTACACAGTGGGGAACCTTTTGTTACAAGGTAATGCCTTTTGGGTTGAAGAATGCTGGGGCAACTTATCAGCGCGCCATGGTCGCTCTGTTCCATGACATGATTCACCATGAGATCGAGGTTTACGTTGATGACATGATAGCAAGGTCCCAGACAGAGGAAGAACACCTTGACCATCTCCAGAAACTGTTCGATAGGTTGAAGACGTACAAGCTCAGGTTGAACCCGAACAAGTGCACCTTCGGGGTAAGGTCTGGTAAGCTGTTGGGTTTCGTCGTCAGTGATAAGGGTATTCAGGTGGATCCTGCAAAAGTGAAATCCATACAGGAGATGCCGGCTCCCCGTACAGAAAAGGAAGTTAGAGGCTTTTTGGGACGTCTGAACTACATCGCCCGATTCATTTCACATTTGACTGCTACATGTGAGCCAATCTTCAAGCTACTGAATAAAGATCAAGTAGTAAAGCGGAATGATGAATGCCATAACGCTTTTGAAAGGATCAAGGAATACCTCCAAGAGCCACCAATTATGATGCCTCAAGTTGAAGGAAGACCTTTGATTTTATACTTGACAGTACTGGATTATTCAATGGGGTGCGTGCTGGGGCAGCATGACGAGTCTGGCCGTAAAGAGCACGCTATTTACTACTCCCTCCATTCCTTTTTATAAGAAAATTTTAACTTTTTAGGTTCATTGAATAATTGATGTATCTAACCAATATATACTCTAAATACATCATTTATTTAATGAATCTAAAAAGTTAAAATTTTCTTATAAAAGAGAATGGAGGGAGTACCTTAGTAAAAATTTTACCGACTGTGAAACCTGATACTCACTGCTCGAGAAAACTTGATGCGCTTTGGCATGGGCTGCTCGCCGGCTGAGACAGTATATGCTGGCTCACACTACCCTATTGATACAAAGATGGATCCAATCAAGTATATCTTCGAAAAGCCTGCCTTGTCCGGAAGAATAGCAAGATGGCAGATGATATTAACTGATTATGACATCTAATACACAACCCAAAAAGCAATCAAGGGGAGTGTGTTGGCAGATCATTTAGCGCATCAGGCTGTGGATGACTACCAGTCCATGAATTTCGAGTTCCCGGATGAGAACATCATGTTGGTGACCGACTGTGAAGAACCTGGACCTGATGAAGGACCTGAGGAAGGATCCTGATGGTCTATGTATTTTGATGGAGCCTCAAACGCATTGGGTAATGGAATTGGTGCTGTGATCATATCTCCTGAGGGTTGTCATACTCCGTTCACCGCCCGATTATGCTTTAACTACACCAACAATATGGCAGAGTATGAAGCATGCATCATGGGCCTTCGAGCAGCTATTGACCTGAGGATTAAGTTCTTGAGTGTATTCGGAGATTTTGCTCTAGTGATCAGTCAGATCAAAGGCGGTTGGGATATGAAGAACCCAAATCTTATTCCTTACAAAGAGTATGTATTGACGTTGCTCCCACACTTTGAGGAGATAACCTTTGAACACTTCCCAAAAGATGAGAATCAGTTAGCGAACGCGCTAGCTACCATGTCTTCTATGTTCAAGGTCAGGTGGGACAATGAAGCTCCCCAGATCACCATTGAGAGGTTGGACGAACCCGCGCATTGTTGTGACATTGACACTGAAGAGGTAACAGATAAACCCTGGTTTCACGAGGTAAAGAGGTATCTTGAGACTCAGGAGTACCCCGAGGGTGCATCTGTTAATGATAAGAAATTCTTGAGAAGGTTCGTTGCAAAGTTCTTCATTAGCAATGGGATTCTTTACAAGTGTAACCATGATTCAACCTTACTGCGATGTGTAGACAAGAGCAAGGCAGAAATAATTATGGCAGAGTTACATGAAGGTACCTTCGGAACTCATTCTAGTGGACATACCATGGCAAAGAAGATCCTACAGGCTGGATATTACTAGTCCACTATAGATGCTGATTGTTACCAGCACTCTCGGACCTGTCACAAGTGCCAAGTCTATGCTGATAAAGTGCATGTACCTCCAGTTCCTCTGAATGTCTTAACAACTCCTTGGCCTTTTGCAATATGGGGAATCGATATGATCGGCGAGATCAGACCTACTGCATCCAACGGACATCGTTTCATTCTGGTAGATATTGATTATTTCACGAAGTGGGTTGAGGTAGCTTCCTTTGCTACAGTAACCAAGAACGTTGTGGCGCGGTTTATCCGACACAATATGATTTGTCGATATGGTGTACCGGAGAGGATCATTGCAGACAATGGTACAAATCTCAACAATACGATGATCACCGAGCTCTGCAAACAGTTCAAGATACAGTATCACAACTCTTCTCCCTACCGTCTGGAGATGAATGGGGCTATTGAAGTAGCTAATAAGAACATCAAGAAGATTGTGCAGAAGATGACGGTGACATACAACGACCAGCATGAGATGTTACCATTCACTCTTCATGGGTACCGTACCTCAGCACAGACATCGACAGGGGAAACACCCTACTCCTTGGTGTATGGCATGGAGGAAGTCCTACCCATCGAAGTCCAGATACCCTCTCTCCGGATTATGAAGGATGCAGGTTTGAACGAAGACGACTGGATCCAGACCCGGCTTGATCAGCTGAACTTAATCGATGAAAAGAGACTTACTACTATTTTTCATGTTCAGACGTATCAAAAGAGAATTATCAAGGCTTTTAACAAGAAAGTCAGGCGACAAGAATATCAGGTCGGGGATCTGGTAATCAAACGTATCATACTACCGCAAGGTGATACCAGGGGAAAATGGACCCCCACGTATGAAGGGTCATTTGTGGTTAAGAACATGTTCTCGGGAGGAGCTATGATTCTAACCACCATGGATAGTGACGACCTTCCTCACCCCGTCAATGCAGACATAGTGAAAAAATACTACGCCTAATCAAAGACCCGCTAGGTTGACTGGCCTAGGCAAAAATAAGGGCTTCCCAGCGAACGAAAAGGGTTCAGGAAAAAGTAAGGGATAAAAATGAAAAAAAACTGTACACCCGGCAAGTCGAAAACCTGAAAAGGCGGCTTGGGAAAAAAAGGGTATCCCAGTGGACTGAAAACCCGAAAGGGCGGTCCAGGCAAAAATTAGGGATCAAAACGTAACACTATGTCTCATTGGACCATCTTGCAACCAGACTTCGGTATCGACTATCAAGCTCGGACGGCACCAATCAATCTGATCTACCTTCGACGAAGTAGCAAAGTGATGAGACGCTCAAAGATATAAAGGCAATAGCAGAGTTGGAACCCAATGGGATTGTTCACATAGCTGTTTTTCTTTCTTTTACAAAAATTATATAAGTCCTGTCTTTCGGCGGCATTCTCTTACCAGGATGTCAGCCTCTTTGTACAAAATTCCTATTTACAGGCCAACTTGAAAAATCAATACAATTCATTTTCACAAGAAATTTCAAATCATTTTTCTTTTTCTGTTTTGTTTTGCAAGAACATCCAATGATTCATTTTTGATATATGCATTTGAAAATAATTGTTGCTCATAAATATTTGCACGAGAGACAAAAGACAATTACTCGTAATTCCAGGAACAGGGGCAAACAAGAAATGTTCAAGCCTTACAGTTACTCTACCCACCAGGTACAGGGATAGAGCCAGCTTGAGAATATAACTAAGGGTACATACATTACCCACAAAGTAGGAAGTATCAAAAAACAGTGGTGTTAGCTCTCCCCAGCCGAGGTTCAAAATCACGAATAAGTCGGCAAAATCCTCCCCAAGCAGAGTTTATCTATCACCAGCAATATAAGATTACCACCCGCTGTGTTTATTTCTCCCACAGGCAGAAATTCAATCCCCAACAGAGTTATTCATCTCCAGCAACGGTAATTCACCCCCGGCGGAGTGGTTTCTCCAAATCAGCAAATGGTCCAGAAGAATATCTTTCTTCCCCACAGAGTCTCTCCCGGCAGAATATTCTCAAGCAGAACGGACGCAAGTCTCCGACTAATCATCTTTGTTCACTATCCCCAGCAAGAACGAATAACACACCTCCTTATATTCTCCAACAGCAGTCCAGGGTTTATTTTCCCCAGCTAGAGAATATCACAAGAACATTGCATATCCATACATCATGGCATACGCATATGCATCATACAGCGCAATCTCATTTATTTTGAGAACATCATTACTCAATACATTTCATACGTCATGACATTACATACGACTAACTCTTTACCTTTCAGGGAAAGATGCAATCAAGTTCTGTCAAGTATTCTCGGGTTCAGTCAAATCGATACTAAGATTTCTATTCCAGTTCAAGCTATAAAGCCCGGATTCGACCAGATAATATCTTGATTTCTCCAAAATACTATGAAGCCTGGAATCGACCAGATAATGGTATATCATAAATACAAGCTTTAAAGCCCGGAAATCGACCGAAAAATAGCTTAACCATCAATAAGTTATTGTGAAGCCTAGAAATCGACCAGATAGCAATAAAAGATACCATGAAGCCTGGAATTGACCAGATAATGGTATAAGACGTTGTGAAGTCTGGATCACGACCAGATATCAGCAAAGGATATTGAAGCCTGGGACACGACCAGATAACAGTATAAGACACTTAGAAGCTTGGAATTTAACCAAATAGCAGTTTACTCGGCCAATTACTATGAAGCCAGGAATCGACCGAATATTAGTATTGCCGTAAAATCAAGTTGAAGCCCGGATGCGACCGGATAACCACTTGATTCTTTATGAAGCCTGGAGAACGACCAGATAAGAATTGAGAAATTGCAAAGCCTGGAGAACGACCAGATAGCAAGTTTAATCTCATCTCCCCAGTAAGTCACTGTAAATCCTGGAGCACGACCAGATAGCAGTTGGTCTTATTTTCCTCAGTAAATCACTGTGAAGCCTGGAGCACGACCAGATAGTAGTTCATTTTCACCTCCTAGACTAAGAGATGATACCCAGTAGAATAACGGACGACTGAAGCTCCTAAAATTCTATTTCTCCCAAGATAGAGAACAACATTCCCCAGCGTAGTCCTCCTCAATAACAAGTGTATGGACTCTCGCAAAGGAATCTCATATGCAATCGAAACTTCTTCTGAAGCCTGGAGCACGACCAGATAGTAGTTCATTTTCACCTCCTCGACTAAGAGATGATACCCAGTAGAATAACGGATGACTGAAGCTCCTAAAATTCTATTTCTCCCAAGACAGAGAACAATATTCCCCAGCGTAGTCCTCCTCAACAACAGGTGTACGGACTCCCGCAAAGGAATCTCTTATGCGATCGACACTTCTTCTGATGGAATCTTTAAGCCCATCTTCCGACATCGACCTCCAAATGGAATCTACGAGCCCATCCCCGACATCATAAAACAAGTACCACTTCATGCGAGTGCAAATTTCTGGGCACTCTAGTGTTCAATCATCTTCCACCTTCGGATCACGAAAGGCAGACAAGCCAATCTATATCCTCAGGTTTAAGAAGATTGAACAGGGGAAGTTGTTGTACCCCAAAATTTTCCCTCCCATATTTCTCAATACATTTCAAGTGAGGTCCTCAAATTGCTCAAGGAAGTCCAAGAGTTGACAAGACAAACTCTCTCCTAAAGGCAGTCTACCTCAAATTAGGGTTTCATTTTGCATCAAGATTCTTGAGTCCAAAGGGTCCCAAATTCTCACCATTTCCCTAATATGTTCACAAGATCATTCATGTCAAATTTCAAGCCTTGCGGAGGAAGTTTTCTCAGTCAATTGCACAAAGGCATGAAAATTGACTATGTTAGGGCAAAAGTCAACTGTGGCCCACATACAGTCAAACTTTAAGATTTTTGGTCAACATTCTCATTTTGAAGTATTATTAATCATTTTATCAAGGTTTGATCATGATTCCTCAAGGATTTCTCACAATTCATCAAAACCCAAAAGTTGCTAAATTAGGGTTTTGTAGGAAAAGTCAACTCAACTTTGACCAAGCATAACTTTCTCATGCTTTATAAAAAATGACCCATCCAAAGCTCATTTTTGAGAGAATGCAATCCCCTAAAATCCATATTCAGATCCCGAGTTCAAAATATCCACTCACAAGAAGATATGAACTTGGACATTATAGGTCATTTTGTAAAGTCAACAAAAACACCTTTTATGTCAAAACTTCTTACATGAACATGGAAGATTAAATTGAGATGAGACAAAAAGAGTTGTTTAGAGGACATCTTAAGCTTTCTAAAAAGTCCAAGAACACATCTCTAGGGTCAAAATTGAGGGGGTTATGCATTAGTAAAGTTGACCTTTTTTGCAAAATTGCCAAAAGTCAAATGTGTCCCAAATTGCAAATTTTGTCAAATGGGCCCAACATTTTATGCTTGCACTGAGTTTGTAATGTGACCCACGACCCATGATCTTTTCCATTTGCCATTCTTTTATTTTTGTCATTTATTTTGATTTTATTTCAATTAAATCAAATAAAATCAAAATAAAATCATGAAAATATCAAAAACTAATCAAATCTTGGGATTTTGTGCATGTTTAGGTCTATTATAAAGCTGGAAGTGAGATCAAATCGTGCAAGGATCATATGGACACAAAAGATTGCATTTTGATTGATTTGGAAATATTTGCACAAAGGATCAAATCATGAATCAATGATCTTAAGTTGAAAAGATTGGGTACAAGTTTGCAACCCTAATTCGTTCTAGGGTACATAAGGAACATGGGAAGATAAGAAAACAAGAGTTTAAAGGTCGTGAAAGTCAAAAAACAAAAGTAAGTTTTTGGCAAAAAAGTGAGTTTCAAATTCCGTTTTAGAGGACAATTCAAGGCAATTTAAAGCCAGTAATCCATTCCTGGGTGTGGAGTGAAGCCATTCCAATCGCTATCAAGGCAGAAAACCTGCAGAATTATCAACTACACCTCAAGGTTTGCACCCTCTGAACCTAAACTTGTTTCTTCAGTTTTACGTATCTTGAATCTAATTCGCTTGCATAGACATGTTCATAATCATGCTGAGAACCCTCTTGATAGCTCGGATTTGAGTTTCGGTGCAGGAATGACCATTTTCCATAGTTAGGGTTCGTGAGCTCCAAATTGGGGAACCCTAGCTAGAGGCAAAATTGGGCCAAATTAAAGGCATTTTCATGTACAGGGGAGGAAATACAGTTGATTTGTGCCCTTGATTGAAATTGTTTTTGCTTGGATTACGTTTTAAAGATTTGCAGGTTTGTAGCTACAGACAAAAGTCGTCGCTATAGCCTATAGCGATGAATATGATTGTAGGTAAAAGTATCAGGTCAAATGTAACGGATCAACGAAGAGGATGCTGGCGTAGCTGAAGGGAGTTTGGTGATTGGTTCATTCAAATTTCCAGGGACCACTTGGGGCGCACGTGTGACAGCTGGGCATAGGCCTGGTTCACCATCATATTAATTTTGTTGTATTATATTAACAATTGAATAATTTGGCCCAGTGGTGAGAGTGACGGAGGTTAAGGTGTTATAGTGTGCAAGGGCAGGGGTTCGATCCCTGCCTCTTGCATTTTCCATTTTTCTAAAGCTTTCTTGCAGGATTCTGTACCCCCATAAGACCAAGCGTTCACCATGCATCCTCAATATCCAACCAATCAGATCATCAACACGCCAGATCCAAGGCTCCTCCCATGAGGGTCCACCATGGGCATAAGTCAAGCGTACATACAGGATTTGGACAGAGTCAATGGGGCCTAGAGCATTGTTGGGCCAAGAATTTCCAACGACACCCCCTTCTTGCGGAAAGACATCAGGCCCATCCTTTCTTTCTTTTTCTTTTTTCTTTTATTTATTTTAATTTGTTTAATTTAATTTGTTTAATTTATTTTCTAACAAAATAATTTCTTTTTTCACAAAAAAAAATCATAAAATCAATTTTCACAAAATTTAGAATTAGATTTTTATTTTATCAAATTAACTTAATATTTAATTTAGGATTAATTCTAACTTTTTTCATATATTTAAAATCAATTAGAAAAATTAGGTTTAGCATGTGATTTAATTTTTATTTTCTTTCTCAAAATAAAAAAAATACAAAAATAGGTCGATTTAATTATTTTTCTTAATTTAAATTAATTAGTAATTAGTTTTTTTTATTATTCAATTAAACCTTATTTCTTCAAAATAATCAAAAACAACACAAAAAAGTGATTTTTCTTTTAAAATTGCAATTAGGTTTAGTCGGGGTCAAAACCCTAAATCTCTCATTTTCATTTCATCGCGCGCGCTTATTATTTTTACAATATTAATGTAACTACTTACAGTATGTAATAGTGTAATTAGGATTTTCTTTTATTTATCGTTTTACGAGTTTTTTGGCTATGTAATTAATCCCCTACCCCGAAGCCTTGTAATTGCGTAGTTTTTATTTCTCGCATTTTAATTCTCGCAAATATTAACTGTTAGATGTATGTTAATAGGATTGTAGGACAAGATTGCATGTTAATTTAAAATGGCTAGCAAACCCTAATGTGCAAAGATAATAACTGAAATCAAATCACTCGTACATGCGCACTCCTAGGGTATACTCTAACTTTGGTTGCCTTCAGTAAATGGTCATTAAGTATAAGGTATTTTAGTGGTCGCCCTCCTGTCTAAACAAAGATCAAATTTCCCGTTCAGAAATGTTGCCTCGGAAAGGTTGCCTCGGAAATGTTGCCTCGAATATGATCTTAAGACATTAGGGTTATTACTAAGACGTCCTAGCATTGCTTTAGTGATCGTACGTCCCTTTCGAATTGACCCTTACAACTCCAACGAAGGTGCTACCTATTTCTCAATAGTAGGATAGCGTTGTCTAAAGGAAACAAGAACAGAAACGATCTTTTTTTGAGTAGGTAGATGCTAGTAGGTACTTGCTCAAAACAAACAAACTTTTTTCGCATCAAACACTTTTCAAACAAAGTTTTCAAAAACAATTTCGTAACACTCTTGAATACAGAAGCAAGGGTTAAAACAAAGTAAAACAAAAACTTTTCAAACAAACACACACAAGAAATTTTAAAAGATGAGCAAGTACCTATGATCCCATGGAAAACCATGGATAGAAAGGGTGCTAACACCTTCCCTTTCTATAATCTACCCCCGCGTACTCAGAAATCTCGAAAAAGGAATTTTTCTGTTCTTTTTTCCTTTCCAGTTGGATAAAATAAAAGTGGGTGGCGACTCTTGCTTACCGCGGCATTTTGAGAACACAAACGCAAAATGCAAACCAGCATTTTCCAAAAACAGACGGTTCTTCCACAGTATCACACCAAAGAAAAGAGTTTTGTAGTAACATTGATGCAAAAGGGAAAATACTAAAAAAAAGGGATCTCAATCCTATAAGTTTTCATTCTTGTGGTCCTAAGGTTGGTATAACAGGGAGATCAACCTAATGTTTTCATGCATGGATAGAAAACCTATTGTCTGTTTAGTTCAAACTTAGAGAAGAATGAACTAAAGATCCTATGGCGAACATGGCAATCTCACAAAAGAGAAGAGGAGGAAGAAGAAACAAGCAATCAAACTTAAACAAGAGTTAAAGAAAGTATCACATGAACACACATGCAATTAGAATAGATACCTTAGCACATAAGAAAAAAAGATGATAAAACATCAAATAACAAGTATAGAAGGGATGATGAAACATTAAGTAAGAGGAGATGACAAAACATCAAGCATGGATAACAAAACATCAAGTATAGTGATATGATAAAATATCAAGCATGGATGACAAAACATCCCACAAATAAGATGATAACACATCAACAAACATACAAGACATGGTGATAAAACACATAAGTGATGAAAATCTCACAAACAAACTTGAAGAACTGAAGAAACATGAAAGAAAAGATAAGTTGTCAAAAGGCATGGAATTAAAGAACATCAAGGTATGATTTAGGTTCTGACCTTAACATGTTATACACCTTAGACTACCCTAATCATAGCAACATGGGTCAAGAAGTAGAAGAAATTGTCTTACTAGACAAGTAGAAGTGCAACTATGCATTTGGAAGATAAAATTCACATCATGATAAAACCTAAGTCTAGAAATGGTTTAAGACATCACAAAATAATTAAGGGATTAAATTTTAACATACATCACCCAATCAAGACAGGTTCATATGATGAAAAGAGATAAAACTCAAACAAGTAATAAGATAAGACTTGTATTTCAAGTAAGCGATAAATCATGGATAGGAAATACTATAGAATTAAGAGGGAATGAGATATATAGACATATTCTTAAGGGTCATGTATAAGAGGTAGAGATATAAATATCATAAGAAAAATCACAAAGGAAATCACAATAGCATAAGAGCATTCATGTGTCAAGTGTCTAACCAATCATGGTATAAGAAGATGAAATAAAGTGAGATATATGGAGAAGTGTACAAGTCAGAAGAAAACACATAAAGGACTCATCATCATCACATAAACACACTTGAGAAAGATTCAAATCAAAATCAAACAAATAAAAGATCACAATCAACCCTAAGTGGACATAAGTCCTCATGCATTACTAACAAGAAAACAAATTAGAAAAGAAGAGGTAATGTGAAGAAGAATGGGTAAAAATAGACATGATATACACTTATAAAAAACCTCATAGTCAAGAAGAAGTTATAATAGTCATTGAAAACATGGTACAAACACCAAAGCAAACAAACTAGCATTCATCAAAATGGTGTAGTGAAATAAGCACAAGTATGTGATCAAGTGAACATGGAAAGACATGTCAAGTAAAAGTGAAGTCAGAAGCAAATGCATAAAGACAAAACATATCAAAGACCTCTAACAACGCTAAAGGATCACTACTTAAATACATCAAAAGTAAGGGTAAAACTAGGTCAAAACCAAACACTAACATGTTCTTAATGGTGCGTGAAGCATAAACAGGGATAGATGAAGACAGAAAGCAAACAATGTTCAATTTAAGAATTAAAGATCAAAATAAGAGAGATCATAATTGAAGAAATATGCAATGTATAACTTGTATAGTAAGTTAACTCAATATGAGACTCAAGAATAACTAAGGAAGAAGATTAAAATTCTTACACAAGAAAAGTCACCTAGATGATGAACAAAATCATTTAATGATGGATAGTACTTGTCTTAAATAAAATGAGATTGATAAAGATCAAGAAATAGTGCAATTACATCTTGTATATCATAGGGTGATGATGAAACCCTCACAAGATGATATGCTTAAGTATCATGATATAAGGAAAAGTATAGTCCCTTTGATGCATAAAAGCAAGATGATTTATTAGTCTATTTTCTTAGATATTATAGGAAGTAGCCAACATCAATATGTATTCATGAGACATAGAAAAAAAGCTCATGAGACAATCATTAGACAATGATGATCAAAACACAAGTAGAAAATAGAATATAGCTTTTTATGTATCACCATATTAGTTAGAAAGTGAGTTCTTAACAAAGAATCAAGGAAGCATGAGAAATGAGATGAGAAAAGAGGTTAATATCAAAGCTTAAACATAAAAATATTAGACTCAAAGTCCTCAATAAAGATACATCACACATCAATCATGTTAAAACAAATAATGTGGCTCCTAACTTGTCATCATGATGAATTGACAATGAAATGTCAATCAAAGAATCAAAGGAGTGTTGATTTATAGATCATAAGATATAAATTTAGAAGTATAAACAAATGTATTTAAACCTTTTTGGATCAATGATACTCAATTGGAAATGTTCAAA